GTTGATGTCATTCAGTGGCGACAAAATGATTTGTTTCATATGAGTAATCAATCATACATCTAAGTGAGCGTGTGTAAGGTAGTTGGTCTAAATAAAGACGTCAAAGTACTAAGCTTGGACGAGAGTGGAGTCCTATTCAATGTCGATGACGTCGAAGGGGGGGCGAGGCTAATATGATATAATGTCAAACTAAGCCTATCTTCATCGTTCAATCCAATGACGTTAAAATGGACGCGGCAAATAGTGGTGGTCTATTCGATGTCGACAAAAGGCATGAAAATAAGATTGTTGTTCTAATCAGTGACGTCAAAGTTGGAGAGATAGGAATGATGGTCTATACAATGACGTCATAAGGGGGCGTGACGAAGAGTTTATTTTTATTCGATCACTCCAAACTGGGAGTGGCCAAGAGTGAAGTTCTATTTAATTATGTAAAAATGAATCGGAAAATAGTGGTGGTCTATTCGATGATGTTAAAGTGCGCGTGGCTAATATGGTGTCTAGATTGTATGACATTAGCTAGACGTGGCTAACAGTGAGTTCTATTTAACAATATTGAAGGGAACAAAGATAATATTTTTTCCAAACAACGTCGTCAAGTTGAGGGATAAGTGTGTTGTCACTTGGTGGGTTGCTCGATTTTATGACGTCAAATTAGGCGTAGCTAAGAGTATTCATCTATCTACTCAATGCAGTCAAAGGAAACAAAAATAAGATTTTTGCTCCAATCAATGACACCAAAGGTGATAAGGGGGTGGTGATGCGATGACGTCTAAGGGAAGGTTGTCGAATTCAATGACTGCTTTTTTTAAATATTCAAATTAGCCGAGCCTATGGCCATTTCTTCACCATGTCTTCAGAATCTGATGTTCTTAATCTGGGAAAGAGTGGTAAACATCAATTACGGCCTCTTTTTTGAAGGGACACCGACGAATTCCGTTCTTTGCCCCCAGGGCGACCTAGCGTTACCGTAACCTGGCGGAATGTCAAGTCAGAAAAAAACAGGGGAAAAAAGGCCTGGAAAAGTGCGGATAGGGGTCGGTTTTTCCGCCGTAACGCCCCCGCAGGGGATTACCGCTTAATTAAAAGTCAACAATAACCGACGGTGGGAAGAAAACTTAGGTTCGACGGGGTTTCCCGCTTTTATTAACCCTTTGGCCGGGGGTTTCGGAGCCGGCGTCCGGCCGTAATTAATCAAAACAAGAAACTCAAATATGTCCGGGGGCCCGCTTTGCCTCACCCCCTCGCAGATTCCAATTAGGACTCGTTCAAAATTTAAAACGTCCACGTCCGGCCACTCTGTGGGACTTTTAAGTCGCTGCCCCAAGGCCCACATGTGTACTCGCAACTCTCCTCCAGCCCCCCACACCACCGGTCGATTAATTTGGCCGGGGGGACTTGTATCAACTTTCGTCCTAAGTTCTTCTTCGCCCGCGACGGACAACTTACTCCTAAAGCCTTGAGAACTTATCTAGATGGATGGGCGGATTCCACTTTGCAAAAGGGCGTCCGGGCTACTTTCTAAAACCCCTTTATTTTACTTAAACGACGGATCCCAGTTGATTATTGAACTTGAGACTTTAAACTTCGGATAAGCTTTCACAAAATGAATCAAAATATAAAAGTTGTCAAAAAACATGTCAAAAACAGAAATCTTCCTGAAAAATTAACTTAATCCTACAAAACAAGAGAAACAGAATTGCCGATTTAGATAAAACTGGGATCCAGCCGCAGAGCAATGTGGAACTACGTAGTATATTTAAAAAAGATGACCTATAAATTATTCAAAGGCGACAAAGCAGGTGTGGCAAATGTGGTCGCTTTATTATATGACGTCAAACGAGTTGAAGCTAAGACGGTTTGTCTATTGCATGACGTCATAATAGACATTACTAACATAGTTGGCAAATTGAATGACTTCAAAGTGGGCGTGGTTAATATGGGTGCTCCATAACGTTGATAAGACGGTTACTCCATTATATGACGTCCAAATAGACATTATTAACAAAGTTGTTACATTAAATGAGGTCAAAGTGGGCGTGGCCAGTTGTTTGTTCTATTGTAATACGTCATACTAGACGTTACTAAGACGGTTGCTCTATTGCACGACGTCTAAATACACATTACAAACAGAGGTGCTACATTAAATGACGTCAAAGTGGATGTGGCCAAGTTGGTTGTTCTATTACAATAGCAACGTCGGTTGCATGACGTTATGCTAGAAATTGTTAAGATATTGCATGACGTCAAAGTGGGAATGGTTGTTGTAAGCATAGCGTCGTACTAGGCGTGGCCGTCCCTATTATATTAGGTCAAAGTGGACGGTGCTAATAAAGCTGATTCAATGTATTACATCATACTACTCATCATCAAGTCGCTGGAGGGCCAATCCGGATGCGGCACCCCAGAGATCAGATGCAAGTAAGGCCTTCAGACACTAATACCACTGTTCTGCAAAAAGGAATAGCTCACCCTGTACACATCGTCCCTGCTCGATTCCAGCAGGCTCTCCTAGCTGAAAGGCTTGCAGACTTCTTTCAGCATGTAGACACCGTCAAGAATTTTCCTCGTTTTCCGGACAATCAAGGATTGAATGTTTTATGCTTTCAGGTTCATCGCAAGTCTCACAGTTCAGAGATGCCCTAGAGTTTATTTTGTGTAGGTACTTTCTGCAGTGCAGTGGTTCCGAGTCATTGAGACATAGAATTTTTTGTAGGACGTTTTTGCAAAGTTAAACCATGGGACGAAGGTCTGGGATTTGTAGGCTCTTCCCGCAGCTCCTCTGTAATGCCAGTTACTCCATTCTATTAACCACTGTTTTGGTTATTGTGCGTTTCGCGTCGATTTTTGGTAATTTTATTTTGTGGAACTCTCCGATCTTGGTTGCTTGTTTTGCTAGCCGGTCGACAATTTGATTGTTCACGATTCCGTTATGTCCTCTCCTCCAGCAAAAAAACACTTTTTTTTGAGACCCCATATTATGAACCATGTTAACTATTTGTGTAACTAAATAGTCGCACTTTCCGTATGGATGGAATTTTTCAGTTTACCTGATTGAGCTCATGCTGTCCGAAATAATGCAGAAGCTAGTACCTTTCAGGTGGTGATGTAGTCCAGGGCTACGACAAGGGCATACATTTCGGCAGTAAAAATAGAGAGTTGACTGGGTAATGTGATCAATTTTTTGAATTTCAGGGATGGGTCGTATACGGCGCAGCCGACCTTTCCATCTATGACCGGCTTAGTATTCCTCCCTGCGGTAGTCCTTTATACGATGACTTAGGGCCTATCAACGCTTGGTTGATTCGAAAGAAAAATTTTCTACAAAACGGACTGCAAGACCCAGGGCATCAGTTTGGAGGCGAGAAGCTGAGTGACAACTGTCATAGGATTTACAAGAAGAGTGCGAGCACTGATTTATTACTTGAAAGGGCCAGTTGGATGTCGGTTACTAAAGTAAGCTGTGCGTCGGTGACAGATTTATTTTTGCGGAAGCCAAATTGAGATTGGGGAAGTTTCCAGTTTTGCTCCGTCCACCACTCCTAGCGAGTTTTGATCATGCGTTCATAGGTTTCTTGTACACACGAAACTAAAGAAATGGGTCTGTTTGAGTTGGAAGCGTTAGGAGGCTTCCCTACTTTCGTTATTAGTATTATTAACGTTTCTTTCCGCTGATCTGGTATTTCTTGGCTAGTTCATATGCGGTTATATAGTTCGAGTAATGCAGCCTTCGCTAGAGGGGGCAGGTTGTTAATTACGGAATAGTGGATCTGATCCTTACCAGGGGAACTATTATTTGTTGGCTTTAAGGCGCACTTTAGCTCAGCCTTGATGAAATTATCTACTAAATAGTGGGAACCGTAGTCAGGCGTACATTCAGGACTGAACTTTTCGTTGGGCTCGCTAGGACAGAGCTTGGTTATCAGGTATGTCGTCCATTGCCCAAAGACGATTGGAGTTCTTTGTGGTAACGGAATGCTTTTAAAAATCTTTAGTTTGGCCCAGATTTCTGAAATTGGGATGGTGTAGTTGATCGAGGAACAGAAAGTTTTCCAAGATTCTTATTTTGGCTTCCCTGATAATCTTTTGTGCTTCGAGTGACAGCGTTCTTAAGACCTCATAGCTTTCTAAAGATGGAGAGATTTTATAATGTCTGAATGCAGCTCGTCGTTTTTTACTCCTGCTTTGCACTCTGTATTCATATCATAACTTACCTTTTGACTTGTTGGAAACCATTTCCTTATTTTGAGGAATGCTTAGGTGGGACACTTTGGTTAAGACTTTTTCAAATGTGTTGTACGTCAATTTTTCTCTGTGGAGTGAGGATTTGTTTTCTTCCCAGGCAAGCCTATAAGCATTGCAGATAGTCACTCTATCGCTCACCTTACACCAGACATTCTGAGATGATTGTTACATTGTATGACGTCAAGCAGTGTAGTGTGCATTTTAGCTGCATTCAATTACATCCTAAGAGGCGTGGCTAAGTCGGTTTCTCTATTAAATTATTTCAAAGTGGGCGTGGTATGCTTCTGTTTACAACGATGACGTCATGACGATCTTGATTATCTATCACGTCCAGATATCAAATGATATTAAATTAATTCGACGAATTTTTGTTAATTTCAAACGACGTCATCATACATATGTTTATCGTGAAGAAGAGACGTCTCCTCTTGTTCTTTGTTTTTTCATCGCTCATCGTCACCTGTCGCATCAGAAGTCTTAACAAGGATTTCGACGAAACGTGAATAATCGTTTTGAAAAGGGGAGGCGGGTGCCAGAAGGATTTTTTGTCCATTCGGGGCATCATTCAATTTGCCCCGGGTCAATAGCGATCCCATTGTTTGATACTTTCATCAGCCGTATCGGCCCTTCGGCGAAATCCCCTGACAGTAATTCGACGCGAGAGGCCGATAAGCCCTCGGGGGGTGGGGGCTTCATTTTGACGCCGTTTTGTAAATGCCCGATTTTAAGTCTAATTTGAGTTTTTTTTGTTGCAGAGCCTTGCGAATCGATGCCGTGCCCTCTGGGGGCGGAGTGCCTCGTCCTGGAGGGGGGCCCAGTTTGCCAGTGCAGGCCCCACTGCCCCCAGGACCCGTCCAACGTCTGCGGAACGGACGGCAAGACGTACCTCAACCTCTGCGAGCTGAGGAGATCCGCATGCGTCAACGCGACCAACATAGGCGTCCAGTACCCGGGCCATTGCGGTATGTGCTTTCACCATGTAAATAAAACGACATCATGGCTTCGCATCGAGAAAAAAAGACGTCATACACCGTCGGCCGAAACCGGTTGTTTTATCCCTTCCCTTGGAAATAATTATGGCCCGGATTTCGCCCCTAAGTCCGTGGGACTTGACCGTAATAAAAAGCCCAGAAGGCTTCCCAGGCCTGGGCTTGAGACACTACTTCAACCCGGAATCCTACCACCCCGAAGGGGATTTCTTTTTAATAATAAACTTGGCGGGAGGTCCGGCTTACCTCGACACCGGGCACTTCGCCCCTTCCATTCCGGACGCCATCACGACGCCCCCCAGCCCCGGACCGGGGATTAGGGGCTGTCATGATTAGGGGAAAAGTTGAGGTTATGCTCCCATTGGTCCCCGGTGGGAAAGAGAAAAAAAATATAGAGAAGATCCGCTCTGCAGACCCTTTTTGAGTCCTATCTAAAATTAAAATCAACGATAAAGCCTTTTAAATGCCAATCGAGTACAAAACTCCATGGACAACCACTTTACAAACCTCCTCAATCCATTTTAAACAAAAAAACATATATTATTATATTAAGGAAAATGAAAACCCTGTAGTTTGTCGTACCTTCAATCGTTGGCCCGAATAAAAATGTTGGCCCTATTCGATGACGTCAAATTCGGATTGGATCTTATTATTGTTTTATTAAATGACGTCAAAATAGGCGTTGCCAAGGTGGTTTCCAAATCCACGACGTCAAACTTGTACTGTGTATGTTTATTGTTTTATTAAATGGCGTCAAATTAAGCATGTCTTGGATAGTCGGTCCGTTGCATGACGTACAAAGTGAGGGATCCTCCGTTGCATGTCGTCAAACTAAGAGTTGCTATCATGCTTCTCCATTTGGTGGTGACTCACTAGGTGTGGCTAAGTTCATTGTTCCATTGTATGATGTCAAACTAATTTTTGTTGTAAGATGGACCCTCTATTCGAGGACGTCAAACTTGTACTGGCTATGTTTATTGTTCTATTCAATTACGTCCATTTGGGCGTGGTTAAGATGGTCGATCAATTCAATGACGTCAAAATATGCATTGATAAACTTTAGATGACGTCAAACTGGGCGTGACTAAGATTGTCGTTCTATTGCAAAACGTCTTACTAAACGTTAACTAAGATGGTTGTTCCATCGCATGACGTCAAGTGTAGCTTAGATGGTAGCGTTATTGTGTGGACATGGTTAAGATTATAGATCTATTGGCTGACGACAAGCTGTGCTTGGCTAAGATGGTCACTCAATTCGATGACGTCAAACTGTGGCTAAAACCAGTTTCTCTATTGCATGACGTCAAACTGGGCGAGGCCAGGCCCGTTTTTCCATTCGATGTCGTCAAATTAAGTGTAGCTAAAGTGTTCGCTCTACTGTTCGACTTGATAGTAGACGTTGTTAAACTAGTAGCTAATTGTATGACGTCAAATAGGCGTGCCTAAGATTGTAACTTTATTATGTGACGTCAAAATGGGCGTGGCTAAGATGGTTGCCCTATTCAATGTCGTCAAATAGATATAGCTAATATGGTTGCGCCATTGTATTACAACAACTAGGCGTGGCTTAGATGGTCGTTCTAATTGATGACGTCAAATAGATATGGTTAATACGGTTGCTCCATTGTATTACGTCAACCAGGCGTGGCTTAAATGATCGCTCTATTTGATGACGTCAAACTGTACATGGCTAAGATGGTTATTCTATTCAATGACGTCAAATAGATATGTCTAATATCGTTGCTCCATTGTAATACGTCAACGATGACGTCAAATTAGGCGTGGATTAGATGATTGCTCTATTCGATGACGTCAAATTATGCGTGGCTAAGATAGTTACTCTAATTGGTAACATCAAACTAGGCGTCGTATCCATTAAATGACGTCACAACTAGACATATCTTCGATTCTTTCTCAATTGAACTATCCTTTTAAACCTTATCAAGCGACATAGCATTTTATCTTATGAAGGAATAATAAAAAAAGGAGGATGGTGGCTTGTGGCAACAGGTCGTTGAACGTAGGTGCACTTGATGTAAATTTGTGATTCGTCAGGTCTTGTTTGATTATGGCAGTTCCAAAGGCTGGCCGGGATTGAAAATTTTATCTGAAATTCGTCCGGTGAGAACCGAGGTGGCAAATGGGACGCCACCCCCCGAGGGTAGGTTGGCAGGAAATGAACCCGGCCCGGGATGTAACGACGCCATTGTTCCGTTTTAGGACGGGAAATTTCCTTTCTACCCCTCTTCTTCACCGTGTGGGTAATTGGACCTTGTGGAAAAGCGAGAACAAGCGGACCGTGATTGGCAAACCGTCAACAACCCCCCCCTAGCACCACACCTCAGCCCACAGAACAGGGATTTCCTTAAAATTCACCTCGCCTCTTAGCATGGCGGCCTTTAAATAAAAACGGGGCCGCGTATAAATAAAGTTCCCCCTCCCACCACTGACGCGGTGGGCAATGGGAAAAGTTAAGGAGCTTTTTCCTCAATAATGCAACCGGGCTTAGGGCTTTTCCGAACCGCGTCACGGCCGCCCGGCCTACCCTATCAATATTTGAACCCCCATTTCCCATTTTCCAGCCGGGACGAACAATTGACTTCCACGTCCGCCGGAAAGAGTCCGCCTTATTGACGTCAATAAGAAGGTCGTCCTTTTCTACGATGAAAGATTTAGCCAAAACTATTTGATATGCCATTGTGCCAATTTATGAAGTTCAACATCATAAATGAAAATTTTAATAAAATGAAATACCACGTCAGCTGATATCCTGGTTGTTTTTAACTAATTAACTTCGGTCAGGATTGGCAGATTATGATAGGTTACACTTCAAATCAACCGTGACATCCTTATTTTTCAGTAAATAATACAACAGTTTAGAGTTTTATCCCTTCTATTACTCACAATTTACTTTATTTCTTGGTTAGAAAGGAATCTTAGTCACAGTGGAATCTGGTCTAGTATGGATGATTTAAAGAGGTTACTTTAGCTTATACTTGTGTACTTCAAAGTAGACCTCAATTGCTCAATTGCATGGCGACAGAGCGGACGTGGCTAAGATAGTAGCTATATTCTATGACGTCAAAGTGGGTTTGGCTTATTGTCTAACCTTAGTCAATGACGTCAGAGTAAACCTAGCTGATTTCTTGTATGACGTCAAACTAGGAGTGGCCATTTTATAAAGTCGACATGTGTGTAAAATGGTCGCTTCATTGTCGTCAAAGTGGACTTGGCTAACATGATCTCTTCATTGTGCGACGTCATAATAGGCATACCTAAGACGGTTGCTGCATTGCATTACGTCAAGTGGGCGAGGACATAATGGTTGCTTCATTGTATGACGTTATAGTAAGCGTGGCTAAATTTTGCTTTAGTCAGTGACCCACGTCGCTAAGATACTATGACGTCAAAGTGGGCTTGGCTAAGATGATCAATTCATTGCATTACGTCAGCGTGGATGAGGTTTCAATTACCTCGAACCAGGCGTGGCTAAGACGGTCGCTACATTGCATGACATCACGTGGGCGTGTAAAAATGATTGCTTCATTGTATGACGTCATTGTAAACGAGGCTGACATGGTTGCGTCATAAAATTTATGAAGGTAGGGTGAGATGGCTTTTAATTTTTTCTAAAGATAATTCTAATTCATGGTATGTTGTTTTCAACTATCCGGATTTCGAGCATTAACCGCTCATTATCAGGTTGAAGGAATACAACACAACAACAACAATCACGTCTCTTGACATAAATTGTAAATATATTATGTGACTTCATCTTTGAAGTCTTGAAGAGAACGTAGCTAAAAATGTCGCTTCATTGTATGACGTCATAGTGACCGTGGCTAAGATGCTTGCTCTAACGTCATTTAATTTTAAAAAAGGGTTCTTCATTTGTTGTATTAGGTTGTACATACGAAATCAACTGCGATATCGTTACTGTTTGTCAAATACGATAGTTTAACGTTTTAGTCTTTCTTATTATTGGAAAATGCCTTTATTATTTTCTGATAAAAGAAAGGAATGTAAGTCAGGTTAAAATCTGATCCTGAAAAGTTTAGAGGTTATGTTAGGTTATAGTTGTGAAATCAAATGAGAAATCGAGTTTTTTTTTTCATCAAATGCAAAAGTTTAGCGTCTCACCCTTCTAATAGATTGATAAATTACCTTATTATTATTTTATTGTTAAAAGTACAGAGACATCGATCGGAGTGGAATGTGATCCAATATGGAAGATTTTTGAAGGTTAGGTTATGTTACACTTGTGAAATCGGCCGGGATATCATTATTTTTTTCTTCGACATATTTTAGCGTTTTAATTTTCTTTATTTTTGGCGAATTACTCTATTTCTTGGTTTAAAAGGAAAAGAATTTAAGTTAGACTGTCTGATCCAGTATGGAAGATTTCTGAAGGTTAGGTTATGTTACACTTGTGAAATCGGCCGTGTTATCATTATTTTTTCTTCGATATGATATTTAAGCGTTTTAACCTTCTTTATTATTGGCGAATTACTCTATTTCTTGGTTTAAAAGGAAAAAAATTTTAGTTAGACTGGAATCTGATCCAGTATGGAAGATTTCTGAAGGTTAGGTTATGTTACACTTGTGAAATCGGCCGTGTTATCATTATTTTTCTTCAATGTGTCATTTTAACTTTTTCTTCTTCTTCTTTGTTGTTGACAAATTACTCGATTGTTATGTTTAAAAGGAACGGCATTTAACTTAGATAGGAATCTGATCCAGTATGGAAGATTTTTGAAGATTAGGTTATCTTACACTTGTGGAATCGACCGTGTTATCGTTATTTTTTCTTCATTATGATATTTTAACGTTTTATTTTTCGTTATTATTGATTAATAATTGAATTTCTTTGTTTAAAAGGAAAAGCAATTAAATGAGATTGAAATCAGTAGGAAGATCTTTGAAGGTTAGGTTAGGTTAGACTTGCAAAATCAATATTGTTTGTCAAATGATAT